GATCATAAGTCGCCAGAAACAAATGGGGCAGGAAATTGGGAATGAACTGGACGAACAAAACGGTAGGAATACGTCCGAGATTGACCGGATTTGCCAGTTAGTATAAATGCTAACGGCTTGTGTACTTGTTAAGTGACTTTAATATTACAAAACACATGAAGTAGTTTCACATTGATGGATTATTACAGGTTAATGCAATTGAGGACGATTTGTGGGATGTGTAGATTGTGGTTATTAAACATGATGCAAAGAAATTTGGTAAAAAAAATTTCCAATTTTCTGGAGCTGCTTTTAAAAATACTTTGTTTTGCGATCCATTTATCCCGTGAGCTCCCCCGTGGCCTCCCGGTGACGTGGCTCAGTGAAGCAGGCTGCTGTGGGGCGGGGCCACCCAGGCTGTGCGGGTCTTTGTCATCTACACACTGGGTGGAGTTGGCTCCTCCTTCATCGTAAACACCAGGCTTCAGGGCAAAACAGTACTTAAAGATTTTTATTCAGTGCTTGGTGTGGCGAATCTGGTTGGAGGAAGGTTCGTTTGCAAACCACGAGCAGGACGGCTTGGGAGAGACAGAGTTTGAAGTCGAGAGCCTACCTGAGAGGCTCTTGCGCTCCAGGTGCGTGGTCTGAGGGGACGGGGAGCCTGAACGAGGGCTGCAGCAGCAGGGGTGGAGGAGAGAGGATGGAGGCAGGGGACTGATGGTGCTTGGACTGTGATGGGACCTGGTCAGGGGAATTGGGTGGGGGAGCCACTGGTTTGTGAGCAGAGAGCCTAGGTCCACTTTGAATGTGTCCAGTTAGAGATGTCAGGGAGAGAGCCGAGTCTCAGTGTCGAGTGGACAGCGGGAGACGAGGTCCCAGAGCTTGGTGAGGGGACAGGACCACAGGGAAGGGATGTGGGACGCTTCAGCACAGAGCTGATGTGTGGCAGCGTTTCAGTGAGGCTAACATTTATTGAAGACCCCTGCTATGTCCTAAGTATTTTTATCTATGTCATTTCATTCGATGCACGGCACAGCATCACCAAGACAGTGTTCTCTCTGTTTGTTGGAGATAAAGCCCAGAGTGCCTGAGGGTCCCCCTAATGTCACCTCACTTAGAAGGGACAGAACTGAAATTCAGACTCAGCCCTTCTGATTCTCTTGTGACTGCTTTTTTCTGCTACAGTAGCTTCCTCTTTAAGGAAGACAAGGTAGGGAGAGAAGAGTAGTAAATAAACGGTTCCAAGGTCTTGGCTCTTGGTCTTAGTATCCCAGAGGCTCGGGGTGGGATGACTTTCAAGAAAAGTTACGTCTGTGGGAGCGTCGGAGCCCTGGGGGTGGGCGGCTGCTCACGCTGGAGGTGGGGCTGCACCTGTCAAACTGTGCCAGTGCCACTTCTCCTGATCTCTACGGAGAATGAGTTCATTTGTTCCCACAGCACTGTTCCCTTCATCTATCGTAAATGAGTGAGTAAATAAATTAGTTCCATCTATCTACCACCATCATAGGTGAATAGATTCCCAAAGCAAGTGGAGAAGCCGTCTATCTTTACAATCCCAATAGTGGTTTTTAATGATTCAAGCACAGAGAGGAGGGCAGTTCAGTCCTTTCCTGATGGTGCTAATGTGGATGTGCTAATTGTTGTGTTTGCCTCCAGCTTGCTCATTGGCCAGCTCCTTCCTTGGAAGGCAGTGTTTGTAAGAAAATGAGCTCTATAGGAAGTCTGCCTGTCGTGCGTGTTACTGTGCATTAGCCCAAGGAAGTTTAGCCTGTGCAGTGGGTCCGACTCGAAAGCTCACTGGCCACCACGCTGGTGAGGCACGCCCATCCTGTGATGTGCTTATTTAGTTCACCCATGTCTAGTAACCTGCGGTCCAGGGCTGAGAACTGATGGTACGTACTTCGGTGTGGTAGCTTGCTGACTTTCCAGGTGAAATCAAGCATTTTTCTTGTGTAATCAAGCACACGAGCCTGTCCTTGTCTTGTCTTTTTCCTTGTTCAGTGGGTCTCCTGCTTTGCAGTGTATTGGAATCACCCGAAGATCTTATAAGCCTCCAAAGCCCAGGCCGTGCCTGAGCTGGTTTTCTGTTGTCGGCTGTAACAAACTGCCACAGCCCCAGCGGCTACAAACAACGCGAACTCCTTATCTTACAGCTCTGGAGGTCAGAAGTCTGACGTGGGCATCCCTGGGCTAAAACCGGGTGTCGGCAGGGCTGTGTTCCTTCCTGGAGGTTCTGGGGGAGGATGACTTCCCTTGCCTTTTCCGGCTTCTGTGGGCCGCCTGCATCCCTTGGCTTGCGGCCCCTTCTCCATTCTCAGAGCCAGCAGCAGTAGATGGAGTCCTCCTCACTGTGTCACTCTGACCTCTGACTTCTGCCTCCCACTTCCACCTTGAAGGACCTCTGGGATTACATTGGGCCCAGTGAGATAGTCCAGAGTAGTTTTCCTATTTAAGGCCAACTGATTGAGCAGGCTTACTCCGTCTGCAACCTTAAGGCCCTTTGGCCGCGAAACCTGGCATATCCTCAGGTTCCAGGATGGAGACGTCTTTGGGGGGCACTGCTCTGCCTGCCACAGCTCTTTATGCCAGTTAAGTCAGGATCTCTAGGGTGAGGCCCAAGCGCCAGTATTTTTTAAAGCCCCCCAGGTGATTTCAGTGTCCTGCCAAGTGTGAGACCCAGGGCCCTTGTTGGACACGCTGAGAGGGTCTATTTAGTGCTGTACTTTTTACATTGCCTCTCACACACTCACGTGACAAATTCTGGAACATTCACCTGGTTACATACGTACATGTCTGCCATCCTGGGCACAGAGACTCTTTCTTCCCACCACACGTTTTACCCCCATCCTGATGCTGCCTCTTCCACGACTCCCTGGTCCTCATCTCCATTCCAGACCCGGATGCATGCATGTGTACATAGACAAACGAGGTATTTTTCCATTCGTTGCCAAAATAAGCTGGGTTTTCTCTGCGGTGGCCCCCCAGAGAGGTGGCAGTTACACCGGTGGTTTTCCAGTGTGCACATTTGCTCCCCAGAAATAGGGCAGAATCAGCCATTTCTTTCACAGGGACAGAGAGACTCTCTGAGGGCAAAAAATTATATCCTGCCAGGACTGTCATCAGCCTTTATTCCTTTTGTCAAAACCACTAAGGCCATTATATCTCTAGGTGCTGAGTATAGGGTTGCAGCCCCATGTGGATTTTTCCTGTGACCCGAGTGTGTAATGAGGCCCCTGAGACCCTGGAGAAGGATACCCCTTGTGGTGTCAGTATGTCTGTTTGGTTTATTGACCGAATAATTATTAAATTGTTGTTTTGGTTTTCATTAGATGAGAGAAACAACAGGCTAGGTCATGGTGAGTCAGGCCATTTTGGAATCAAGTACTGAAACCTTCCTAACAAAATACACGCCACTGAGAACATAACCACAAAGCTGAAGGGACGAATTACCATCAGTTTCCAGCCTTTCCAGAGAGAGTTAAAAAGGGCCTGACCGGCACATGTCGTTCCCTGTTCATGTGCCAGTGGCCAGGCCCTGCGAGGAAGAGGGTCGGCAGTTCAGTGGAAATACCTGGGCGTCTAGTGGGTGTGGGGTTCGGAGCTGGGGGTAAGTGAGGGGTGACGGGAGAGGGACTGAGCCAAGGAGACCACCTCACTGGGATCACAGTTCACAGCGAACGGGATGGCTGGGCGCAGGGAGCTCGGGCCAGCCTGGCTGCCCAGGTGCTGTTCCCGAATGAAGTTGTGGTACAGTTTTACTGAAAAATTCCCCGAAGTTCTCGCTCAGGAGGACAGGGTCTTTCGAAAGGAATGAATGCTAAAACGAGAAAATGAATGGGTGTGGCTTGACTGGCTTGACTGAAGTAGATGTTTCTGAGACCTGATTTGGGCATTGGCCAAACCTTAGAGTCAGCACCAAGGAGGACCGCAGAGTCCTGGTTCTGATGGATGAATAACACCAAGAACGGGCTGTTTCACAAATCCCTGTCAGTATGTGCCGGTCCTCATCACCCTTTTGGTGTTCAAATATCCCAATCTAGGCCAAGCCTTTTGATGTTTCTCTGTCAATCTCTGAGCCTCACCTGGCTTTTTGGAAGAAACCACGATGATGAGGAATGCCACTTGTCTTGACAATGTCAGTACCAGGATTGAGGGGACCAGGGTGTCCTTTGAAAGAGCGAGACAATGTGACTGTGCTCCTTGAAGGACACAAAATCATCAGATTTCATACACACATCAGTGAATTACCACTGTAAGGGTCCATTAGAGCTCCTGGCTGAATTTTTTAAAAAAACATTTCTTTATATATCTTTATTTTTGTGTCTCTCCATGAGCGCAAGGACATTCTTGATCACCTTCAGTGTTGAACAGGTTGTGCACTGCACAATTATCGGAGGAACATTCATAGTGTATTATTATAGATCTGTGGATTTATTACAACCACGTTCCAGCAGTTCATAAAGTATCTTGAGGAAGGTTATTGGGTACATACATATACAGAATTATTTAATTTTATTTTGATAGTTCTGTCTTTTTTTTTTTTTATCACTGTGGAAATATGTATATCTCTGATGCTTTTCACCTTTAGGTCTATTGATCTGATTTTAAGATCACAGTCTGCGCTTTCATTTGGTTAGTGTTTACCTGGCTTAGTGATTCTCAAACTTTGTGGTTTAGGGCCGCTTTATATTCTTAAAAATTGTTGAGAACTCCTAAGAGCTTTTGTTTATATAGATTGTAGCCATCAATACTAACTGCATTAGAAGTTAAAAGCAGACAGTTAAAATATTTATTTACTCATTGCTTTAAACATAACAATAATAAACCATTACATACTAACACAAATAAATTAACTTTTATGAAAAATAACCCCCCAAATAATAAGTAGCTTAAACTAGCAAACGCTGGTTGTATTTTTTTATCTTTCAGTAC